CTGGCAGGAGCCTCCCCCCCTCCAACACAAAGTCCTTCCCCTCCAGCCACTCTACGAAGTTCAACTCGGGAACACAAGGAGACATTGTCTCCCCTCCCCTGCTCGCGGGGGCATCTCGTACCTGCGGGGCTGACAGTAGTTTTACTAAATCTTCAAGGGGCAGCGGCCAGACTGAGGCTGCATTGTTCACCAGCCCGGAGGTGGGGGGCTTTTAAATAATAATAATGATGATAATAACAAATCCTAGGGGAGTGGGGTACGTTCATTTGTCATGACAAGTGCCGATCCTCCCCCCCCCAACCCCCCTTCTGCTTTGTCTCCCAGAAACGTGCCCGTCTGGTGGGGGAAAGTCTTAAGGCAACACGCGCCGTTCCCGTCTGGATTGCAAGACTTTAAACTAGTCGGCTTCAGACTCCCAATTCCTCTGCAATGCGGATGTATTTTAATTCGGAAATTCGGGGGGAAAAGCAGCTTGGAGGGGGGAAGGGGGAGCTGCCCATTTCACCTCGCTCTCCTCTGCCTTCAGCTTTGCAAGAGTCAACCCCCGAGAGAAGCAGGCGGCGGAAGCCAGCGGCAGGTTTTAGGAAATCTATTTCTAAAAGGGAGAGAAAGTGTCCCGAAGGTCACCCCCCCCACCTTTTAGAAACATCCCCCGGGGGGCGAAGTCACCACCAACCAAAATATCTTTATAAAAAAAAAGTTGTAGTTTAAAGTGTTATATTCACTATACCCCAAAGCAAGTCTCCCCCCTCCCCCAAACAAAATGAAACCTTTCATTTTAAACGTACAGCTGGAAAAAAAAAGGAGAGAGAAATCATTCTGCGATCGCCTGCCTATTTGGATAATCCCCCTCAGTTTTTTCCCCAAAACTCCCCCATGCCAATCAAAACGGAGCCGGACCACGCACAAAAAAATCCAGCTACCTCTGCACATTTATACGTTTAAAGGATTAGACAATTACAAGGGATTGGTTAAGCGGTTGAATTAAAAAAAAAAAAAAAACAAAAAAAAGCAGAGAGAGAGAGACACACACACACACATAATGCTGTGCAGCCTGGACTGGACCGTATTCTTCTAAAATTTCAAGGCATCGCCATCATTTTTTTAAAGCTATTTTCCCATTATTCAAGTCAATCCCAACGCACGCATTCCCTGTAACACGATCCCCGGCCGGCTCGGGTCCTGCTGCCGGCCGGAGGAGCGAGGGATCACATCCGTGAGATGTGATGTGGTCGTGCAAGAAACGAGCTCGCCATAACCAGACACTGGATCCCAACTTAAAGGGCTTCCCACAACCCCGGCAGGAATAGCCCCGCACCCCTCCATGCAAAAGGCTGCTTCTTTTTTTTCTTTTTTGCCTGCAAAGTGCAATCTGCAGAAAGCTGCTGGAAAACGCAGTTTGTAGTTACACGATGGCAGCAGCATTCCCACCCCCCCTCCCCCTCCC